TCCACGCGTCAACCTAAAACACGATTATTTATCCTCTGTCCTTTTTCCTGGAAAACTTTAATCTGACTGTCGATATACCCGGCTCTCACGGTTTCGCAAAAAATAGCAGTACTTAGATTATACGTTAAAGAACTGTGTTTATCTATTTCTTCCGAGTTGGTAGCTATTTAGTAACTTTATTATAATATAATTATTGTTAATAAAATATATTCAACTTTTTATATTTATTTAAATTAATTCTTTACAATATTCTTTTTATATACTGCAAAATTTAACAAAAAATAACAAAATATTAAGTATTACAAAGAATTGTAAAAACCTATATTAGTAATTGGATCTAGATAGGTGCCACCTGAGTTACTCATGAGTAGACAGATAATCTAAGTAGAGTTTTGGCCACTGGGTGGAAGCAGATAGATTACCCAATAGGTGACCTGTAAACAATAATTGTGATTTTTAATTCAAATATGCACTTATATATATATTAATTGCCTTTTTTTCATAAAAAAAAAAAAAAAAACTTTTCAAAATAGATAGGTTTTATATTAGATACTCATTCAATGAATTGGAGGTAAAATTTTAAACATTACTATTTTGACAAAAAAACCAGCGACATCTTATTTCTTCAAAAACTTACTATTGATAAAGGTTGCTCAAGAATTACTTTACATTTTTACATATTAAGTATAATAAACAATGAATTTTTGTAAATTTTAAATAAAATTATTATTTTATTTTTACAACAGTTTTTATAAATTCTGGAATAACTGAAAAAATTGCCGATGACTGAATTGATAAGTTACCAAGTCAGAATCAATAAGTAACTGACTTCGGAAGCTTATCGATTCGGGCAATTTTTTTAGTTGTTCCAGAATTTATGAAAACAGTTGTAATGCTCTATTTCCACCCAGGTAACTCATGAATCCACCCGACGAGTTTCTTTTTTTAACCCACCCGGGTGGCGTTTTTTTTGACGGGTCCAATAATGAAGAAATTATACCTCTGTGAAGTTTGTGTTCAGAGTGAAGATAGTCCAATCCTTTTAGCAATTCTCGTAATATGATTGCTACATATTCTTCTCTTAATGCACCAGGCTTCATCTTTATTAAAAAGTATATATGAGTAAGTAATATCACAGAAATAAACAATTACTATGAAACTTACTAAATCTGAACATGATCCTCCAGAGCAATATTCCATAATAATCCATAAATGAGTTCCTTTGAGATAAGAACCGTAATATCTTATTATAATAAAGCACTTAATGCACTGGTTAAATAAAACAAAAATCTATTTTACGGTAATAAATAGTTACCTAGTGACATACTGTGAATCCATTTGTGAAAGAATTTTTATTTCTTGTTGAATATCTTCAATTTCGTCTTCAGCATGTTCAAGATCAATTATTTTGATTGCTACAGAGTTTTTGGTTTTCTTATCAAAACTGATTATACGATAAAATAATATTTATAATATTTATACAATATAGTATAACGATAAATAATAAGATGGTTAATTAAACATCAGTTTAGCTTTATATTTTAAATAGTTGAGATTATTGGCCTCTCGTCAAATAAGAAGAAAATTATATAAGGCGTAATCAAGTCTTACCCTTTGAATACTTCACCAAAAGATCCTTTTCCTGTTATGCATCAAAGAATACTTAGAGAGTAGCTTAATATGGATGGTTAAATTTCTAGTAAATAATATTAAATTTTACCTATTCTATCTTGTTTCACGTAGTTATCCTCAGGATCTACCTGAGTTGAGGAACTCTTTCAGGTCATATAAACAAATTCATTAAATGCAGAGAAGAAATAGTGAATTCTCGATTAGAATTTCATCATTATCATAAAAGAATCAAAAAATTTCTTTACCATCTCGGGTTATCGAGCACAAATTATATCGACAGTCAGATTAAAGTTTTCCAGGAAAAAGGACAGAGGATAAATAATCGTGTTTTAGGTTGACGCGTGGAAGTATAAATATGAAAATCTTATTACAAGATTTAACTCAGGAGCTTTCAAGGGGGGCAATCCGGATTCTCGCCTGTACCACTGACTTCATAGAAAATAATACACAAAGAATTTCTTTTAAGATTAGCAACTTTTGCTAAAATGATGATGATCAAGCTTCTATGTAGCCCGGAATGGAAACTCGGGAATAAAAAAAACTACTCACAGTTCATTTAAGATAAAATGAGAAATTTATCGATCATAAATGAATATGTTTCTAAAAAATTTTAATTTGTTAAATGCATTCTTGGCAACAGCCCAATGTTTTTTCACATACCTATGTACATTACGTACGTCTTGTCAGTAGTACAGTATTATAAAAATGCGTCCGTATGTATGAGAATACGTATGCTCACCTTTCTCCCTATATGCTCAAACATATACACAATTAATAATATCAATTAAATAGGCTTTTTTATTTTCTAAGGATTAACAAATTATTTTTCAATAAATATTTATTGGTTTTTTTTTTTTTTACAGCATAAATTAGTTATCAGTATTCAAAATCAAAGGAAATAATCTATGATGCTTAAAAGAAACAAGAAATAGGTAAAATATCGATAAACTTGAATAATTCAAGTATATTGTTAAAAATCTTTATACAACTCATGTTGTAGTGAAGTTATCTGGTTGAGTATAACTTATGTTGATAGAATATTATATGTACTTCACTATATCGAGTTAAAGTTTAATAATTTCATAATTCAAAATTCTTTAAATAATTGAATAGCCTCAAATAATTTTTATATGCATTTCAAAATATATAATATGTATGCGTATTTAGATTAATATAAGTTAGCTATTTATATAAATGTTTTTCATCTAAAAAATCTAACCTGGGTTACCTGCAAGTTAATTTTTAGTATATCCGGATAATAAGTAAGATAAAGAGATAATTCTTGCAAATAATATACTGTAATTAGTTTTTATAGAGTATATTTAGAGAGGTTGGCTGTATTGTATATTATTTGAATTTGATTGTTAATTAACAGAATCTTTACCCAGTTTATATAATATATATCAGATATACTTGCAGATAACAAATAATCTAGGCATGAATTTAATTTTAGTGCTGTAGAAGTTTATTTTGATTAGCTAAAAGCAACAATTTTTTTTATACAGTTTATTGTAATTTTTAAAATATTGCAGTACTTTTATTAGTAAAAATCATTATAAATTTTTTGTGCGTGAAATTTGAATGGGCGTGAATTTGAAATTGAGTATCTGTCATATTAAAATCGATCAATATTTGAACTGTGAAATAAGAATTTTTTACGTATATACGTGCGTGCTCTCTGATTTCATATTCTAATTTGTGCTATCATTGCAGAGGTCATCTTTGCTGTATAGATTAGTGATTGGACCCGTCAAAAAAAACGCCACCCGGGTGGGTTAAAAAAAGAAACTCGTCGGGTGGATTCATGAGTTACCTGG